TAAGGAAAATTATAGTGTATTCCTTTCCTTTTCATTTCCTTCCAGAATTAGAACTGCCTAGTTAGGCACTTACCATCACATTAGTGCTGGTTCCATGCTCTGGTAATGTTTAGAGAAATTATTAGAATATATTAATTGGATCAAAGATCAACAATCTAGTGTGAGTAACTAGACTTCACAAAAGACACTAAGTTCCTGTTCTGGTTCTGGCTCTGCAGAAACCAAGGAGACAAGGGATGTGCTTCCCACTGGTGTTGGGCTGCTTTTGCCCTTTATTCTGCCTTTCTTTTTTTTTTGGCGCACTGGGCAGCTTTGCGGGATCTTAGTTCCTGGACCAGGGATCAAACCCAGGCCCACAGCAGTGAAAGCACCAAGTCCTAACCACTGGACTGCCAGGGAATTCCCTATGCTGCACTTTTAAAGCTGGATCAAAACAAATGCTGAGCCTTCCACACTACTGTTTTGTTAGCTTGGAGATGACTTAGAGCAGTCAAAACTATTTTTAATGTAAGTAAAAGTTAGCAATATTTTGATTTCAGAATTTCTCTTAGCCAAGTCTTCCTTACACCCATTAAGAATTATTAATACAGTAAAACTTGAGCTAGATGATTCTGAACAGAAACAGGCTAAAATAAAACACTATAAACCAGTTGGGGAGTAGAGATACAAAACAAGTATCAATTTTTCCAAATCTATAAAGAAGTTTCCATGCCCACTGAACCATGCTATTATTCTTAACACAAATTAATGTTAGGTAATGACAAAAATCCTGTTTACTAAGCAGTACAGTACATCTATGGATAATAAACAGCCCTGGCAAAAAATGAAGGCGTAGGTTAGCTTCAAATTTACCACAAATAGTATTAAACACACACACACACACACACACAAGACTGTAGGACTAAATAAGTTTGTTTCCTAAATTACATCAAGAAAAATTTGTTACATAAAATGCTACTACTAGCTAGAAATATTCTTAGGGTACTTTAAAGAAAGCATTTTAAACTGCTATCTTGAATTAGGAATTAGATAAATAAGACCTATTCCTTAGATTATTACAGATTGGTACAATGCAACAAGTTCCCCTGTTATTAAAAATAACAAAGCTTTAAAATGATAATTTCCACATTCACCGAATGCCCATGACACATAAAGCAATATGCTGGGCACTGTGAGAAACATAAACACAGTAAAAACATGATTCCTATACTCAAAACAGTCCTTCATCACATTTGTGAGCCATAAAAAGCCAGCTTCCAAGTTTTCCAACTCTGGGATGAAAGATCCCTTCTGCAAAACTAGATCCTCTCGCCAGAAAAATGACCCCCTCCCCCTGAAACATATATTTTTCAGGTTAACAATCCATGATTTCAAATGAGAATACCTTACAGAAATTTTTATTTTCACAGCAACGTAGGTTAATACATTCCTCAATATAAACACCTAAGGACAGCTATAGCCCCCACTGCAATACATAAAGGACTTCAACACACCCTTACAAGGCTTAGTGCCCTGGAGAAATCATCAAGGCTAAAATGTAATATAGTTGGCATGAGACAAGGGTAGGTGAACCTTCTCAAAAGGGCAAACCTGAAGAACAGACACACAAATCTAAAATCTGCTTAACTTGTTTTAATGAACAGATGAGAATAATATAGTAGAGCTCATAACTTTTTGAATAATTTAATGCTGTATATTTTTTTCAAACTGAACACGCCCTACTCCATTTCCTTTTGTGTGTATATATTTCCTTATGAAGGCAACTGTTGTTCACTTCAGTTCTATCAAAGCTATTAGTAACTATTTCTAGGTGTGTGCAGTATCACCACACCTTTTACAGTTCTTAGCTTCAACCTAAAAATATATATTTATAAAATTTCTTTGTATGATGTAAGAAATGTTCTAGGCATTTCCAAAAGCAACACAAGGACCAAAAGGTCTGATTTACCTGAAAAGATAAAGAGGAAGACCTGCACAGTACATGTATATGCGTGTGTGTGTGTGTGTAAATACACACATATATTTTTTTGTTTCCCAAAGACAAAGATGAAGTAGTCTAAAGGTAAACATCAACTAACTTTGTTCTTTTGGTTGGAGGAAGGGGACATCTTTTAAATCACTGTCTTCACTATTTTTAGCTAACTCATCAAATAGCTGATGTCTGAAAGAATCTCATCTTAGAAATGCTTGCTTAAGAATTCATTTCCTCTCTAATGTTTCTGAAGGATTTCTATAATTAGAAACTAATTAGCTAGCCGAAGGTGGGGAGGATTACAGACCAAACAGCACAACAAAGTCAGCAACTGTGCTTTGGAATTATGATTTACAGTCTGCCTTCAAACTAAACGTTTTTAATAAAAACAGAACTTCAAATGATGAGCTGCATGGTATGTGAATTGTATCTCAATAAAGCTGACATATACACACACAAACTGGACTTCTATTTGGCCTAATCCAAGACATAAAAAACAATTATTTCCCCTGACCACAAGCTCTGCACTAAACTGCAAATAGGGAATCCTGCCCCGACTAGCATGGAACATACACAGGAGGGTGAACAGAATAGAGAACAGAATAGAGATTCTGTTGTCTATTCATCACAGCATAAAAAACCTCCAAACTTTCCAGAACATGAAAAACACAAATTTAAGTATAGGGACAAAATAATATTTAAAAGAAAGGTATTTTATTGTCTAATGTTTGGGAATATATAATTCCATTCTTTTCATTAACCATAATTTAGAGCTCACAGTTTCAGTTACTGGTGAGTTTTTGGCTACAAAGATGAGTAAATTTATTACAAATCAAGTTTCATGAGAATGTCAATGAACTGTCCTAATTTTTGTTGTATCTCTATTACACACTGCTCAAGAGGAGCCAGTGGTTAAAGTTTCTTCACAGATGGGTTTTCACTGTAAACATGGTGTCTAAAGAATGTGGCCTACACTGAGATAATTTAAGTTTTAGCTACCACATGTTTTCTACTTGGGGGGGGGGGGAGCATCAGATTATATGCAAAACAACTTGGAAAATGTCTTTGAGTTCTTCACATAACATTACGTTTTTACCACCTTTTAAGATTACGGAATAAAACGGAAAGCAGAAAAAAAGTTAAAGAGTTGGTAGGTAGGAAAATACAGTAAATAAATCTAAGTGGTAAAACCTCACTTAAAGTAACAAAGATCAGGAAAACGCGGGAAAGTTCCAGCAGAAGAGAAAGAGGTGATGTACACATGCTTTCGAGGTTACTGACATATCACACTATCTCCAAGAGTAACTAAAGCATCTTAATATGTTGTTTTGAAAATTTAACAAACGTTAAATATTACATGTTCTGTCCCTTCCTCTTCCATGTTATGAAGGCAAATTAAAAAGACAGCTGAGGGCTTCCCTGGTGGCGCAGTGGTTGAGAATCTGCCTGCTAATGCAGGGGACATGGGTTTGAGCCCTGGTCTGGGAAGATCCCACATGCCGCGGAGCAACTAGGCCCGTGAGCCACAACTACTGAGCCTGCGCGTCTGGAGCCTGCGCTCCTTAACAAGAGAGGCCGCGATAGTGAGAGGCCCACGCACCACGATGAAGAGTGGCCCCCGCTTGCCACAACTAGAGAAAGCCCTCGCACAGAAACGAAGACCCAACACAGCCATAAACAAATAAATAAATAAATTTAAAAAGAATAACAACCCAAGCCAAGCTGTAAGATGTTATTTGAAATTCAAAATAGATTCTCAAGAAGATAAATAAACCAAGTGCCCACTGTTTAAAAAAAAAAAAAAAACAGCTGAAGGCACTCTAAGAAGATTAACTTTATAAAACTAACCTGCTGTATCAATATACATTCAAAATTGAGTGAACTACACAGCTAGCTAAGTGGTGGTGCATAATTACAGATAAAGGAAAGTTAATATACTTTAAAAGCATAAAGACCTGAGAGTAAGTGAAATTATTAAAAAAAAAAGCTCATCTTGTTCTGTAAGCTGGGCCAAGAGTAGAATTTAACATATTTTGAAGTCACGGGTCACAACTCACTGGGGACACTTCACAGCTACTATGGAACTCCGTTGGTTAGAATATGGAGCTGGCTCATAGATGTTTAGAAAACAGACTTATTTTTTCCCCCATATATGGCACCGTTTTCAAAGTTTTGCCTTGTTTCTTTCGACATAAAACCATAATGGTAACTAACTTTGAAAAGAATGCCAAATGGTAAAAAAAAAGCCAGGACTTACCTGAGCCCACATGGGCCAGCTCAACACTACCCTGGAGTTCTATGGTAGCTGTGACATCACAGCATGGTTTATGCTGTGGGGTCAGGGTGGACTTGGAGTCAGCTGGCACAATTTCAGGAGCCCTTAAAGAGAAAAGTTAGTTTTAAGTGGTAATGTTCAGAATGTCCTTTACCATGGTCAGTAGAAAGATGCAGATGTGGTGGCTACGAGGTCTGGGTAGTTTTCCTCTATTCAGAGTTTAATTCACTTAACTGTCTTTGCATATTAAAAAGGAAACTATACCACCCAGTTATACTTTTTCTTCATACTCCTAACCATTTGGCTATAGTTCAAAGACAAACTTGGCTTAGACAGACACAGCAATCTCTTTCAATACTCAAACATGACCTTCTTTTTAAATAAAATGACCTCAATATTTTTAAATGTATCTTAAGTAGACACAAGCTATGGCAATCCCAAAAATAGTTTGAGCAGACCAAACAAATCACCTCCCAGATGCATTTTTTACACAATAACCAAAGGCAACAAGTTAAAATCTACCATTTCTATTCCTAGAATAGTGCTACTGAACAATAATCTTTTCAAAAAAACCAAGAGATGAAAACCACAAATTGGAAATAAATTCTTAATCTAATCTATGCTTTATCACAATGGGTTTCTATTCAATTCATTCAATAAACTTACTCCATTATGAAAACATTTATTGACTGACTGATTGATTGCCACACCGTGCGGCTTGCAGGATCTCAGTTCCCCAACCAGGGATTGAAAGCAGTGAAAGCCCAGAATCCTAACCACTAGGCCACCAGGGAACTCCTGAAAATATCCTCTTCAGAAAAATTAAAAACTCAAATTATAGGGAAGTCAAAATAATCTCTAAATAAGGCCTTTAAATGTTCTATTATTAACCATGACAAACTATGCCAAATGTAGCTTATACTTTGGTGCTCTTACCTCCTTAAATCTTTGATCAGATTGTTAACAACCAAACTGCTGTGAAAATATAAATCCCCAAAGTCATGAAAAAAAATACCTGAATTGATAGAGTACCTTCATAAGAAAGAAGATCTTGCCATGCAGGAAGAATTACTGCTAAAAGCACAATGGAAGGATATAAAGGAACATGTCACAAAGTTATCTTTGGGAAGGTGATCAGAGATGAGGATCAGTGTTAATGGGTTAAAGATGAATGTGAGTTACAATCAGAAAGGTTACTTAAAATATTGCCAAAAAGTCAACTGAAGGGATATTAAAGTTCTTAAAATCTGAGGTTCTGGTCAAATAAAATAGTATATGTCAAAACCACATTCTGCACTGGAACCAAGTCCAAAAGTTTTTGACTTCAGGTAAAAATTTCATCTGTCAAGTTATCCTGGCCAAATTTGAAACCAAATATTAGACTTTTAGAATTATTCTATTTTAGATTGGCCTTCTAAGAGGAACTGAATAGTCTAGCCACTCTCTTTTACCAGTGAGAAAATTAGAGGATAAATAAGCTTTTTAAAAGGGACGGACAGATAAAGAAGAAAACCTCTCACAACATAACTTTATACTATTCAGATTATGTCCATATAACTCTTCTTCTAGCCAAAAATACTGATAGAATTAAGACAGAGAATCATCAAATTGGAAGAGATATTTAAAAGTTAGTGCATCTTGATGTGGTCCCCAAGTAGAAGCACAAATCAAGAAAGTCCCTATAATTTGCTACTGCAAGAGAAGGTTCCACAGCTTCCGTTAATGCTCATGGCCCCACAACTATCTACATAAAACGATGGATCTACCACCGAATGGTAGATGTTTCCCCAAAGAGTTTCAGGCCCATACCAACAACCCATCAGAATCCTCACTATGGCATGTCTAAAACTGATTTTCATGTTTTCTACATTTAGGAAAAAATGATACTGCTATCCAACCCAAGTGTCCAAACAAAAAACCTGGGCATCTTGCTTAACTCTCCCCTCAGCCCCAATATCAATTCTTCCAAGTTTTATCCATCCTACCTTTTTAAAGTCTCTCTCAAATACATCCCCCTTACCCCATTTTCCACTGCCTCCACCTTAGGTAAGGCCGTACTCTTTCTCACCTGGATTGCTATAATTTCCTCCTTAAAAGGTCTGCTTGCCTCCACTGCTGCCCCCTCCCAATCTAGTCTCTAGGCTATGACCAGAGTGAGCTTCCCAAACCACAAATCAGATTAAGGCAGTCTCCTTCCAAATGTTTACCATTGCCCTTACATTAAGAGCGAAAATCTTCAACCAAATGAACAGGCCTTGAAAGGTCCAGCATTATCCTGCAGCTATTTCTCACAGCTCCCATTCTACACTCCAGCCCTATAGACTTCTTTCAGTTGAATGGATGGGCCATGCTCTCTTGCCTCTGGAGTCTTAACAAATGCAATTCCCTCTGACAGAAGCACTCTTTTCCCTCTTCTAAGGTTTTGGCTTAGATGTCATTTCTTCCTGAAAGCCCTCTCCAAATGTCCAAATGAGATTAGGGTACATACTCCTCCTCTAACACCCTATACTTCCTCTCCTGAACTTATCACACTATTATTGACCTGTTAAATTATTTCTTCACTGGACCACAAGCTCACTGAGAGCCCTGACTTCTTTCCCAGTGCTTGGAAGCACACTCAATGATCGTCTGAATGCATAAATGAATGGACGAACAAACAAATAAAAGGTGAAAATGAAGACAATTCTGAAAAGCAAGTGGAGGGTGGACCAGGTTGGACATTTGTCTTTTGAGATTTTAAGATATCTAATAAAGCCATAATTGTTTAAGCAAAAGTGTGATACTGATGTAAAAAAAAACCATCAAACTAAAGAGCCTCGAAACAAATGAAGCAGAATCATTTTATATATGACAGAACCACCCAAATCAATGGGGAAAGAATTTAATAAATCATATTAACGGAAATTATCTGTAAAAAATATTTTAATCCTTAGTTCAATCCAAAAAACTGTGAAAAACAAAGATAAAATGTTATAACTCTCCCCACAAAAAAAAGGTAAAGAAAATGTGCAAATATGTCTGGTATATATCTTTAATATATACATTATATTCATATAGACTTGATACAACTTGATAAAATCACAAAGGAAAATGGACAAAAGACATAAATCAACAATTCACAGAAAAAAATACAAATGACTAATTAAATGAGATAGCTTGCCTCCATTAATAACAAACATCAGCAAAGATACAGCTATACAGGTACTCTCTTACACTGATGATGAGAATATAATCAGTACAGTCCTTCCACGCAGCAATTTACCAACATGCACAAAATACCTCTGACACGTTTCCATCATTTGATCCTGTTACCCCATTTCTGGGAACCTAAGAAAATCATTAGAAATGCTGACGATTTTGTTCATCAAAACACTACCAGTATAAAAAATTTTCAAATAACCCAAAGGCCAATAATAAGGGCTATGTTAACTTAAAGTACAGCAACTCGAAGTCATATTACACATTCATTTTTTTAAAGATGAAAATATTTTAATTACTTCAAAATGTAAAATTCAACAACAAAAAAGAATGTATATTATTTCCGTTACATAAAAATATTAAAAAACTGAAAATACAAATATGAGATTTCCTCTAGATAGTGATATTATAAACTATATTTTTTCATAGCTCTTCTCACCTCTGACATACTCTGCAATGAGTATGCTCTGCTTTTATTATTTAAAAATAAATTAAACCCTTATATACTGTTATAGGAAGTCAGTATATAATGCCAAATTTGATAAAACAAGAAATACTGCTATGTCCATCAACAGATGAATGGATAAACAAAATGTGGCATATAAATAAAATGGAACATTATTCACACTTAAAAAAAGGAAGGAAATTCTGACAGTTACAACATGGATAAACCTTGAAGACATTACACTAAATGAAATAAATAAGCCGGTCACAAAAGGACAAACACCACCGTATGATTCCACTTATATGAGGTACCCAGAGTAGTCAAATTCAGAGAGACAGAAAAAAGAATGGTGGTTGCCAGGAGCTGGGAAAGGGGGACTGGGGTGTTACTGTTACTGTATACAGTTTCAGTTTTGCAAGGTGGAAAAAGTTCTGCACACAGATGGTTGTTATTGATGGTTACACAACAATGTGAATGTACCAAAGCCACTGAACTGTACATTTAAAAGCAGTTAAGAGGTCATATTTTGTTATGTATGCTTTACCACAATTTTTTAAAAGGAAAAAAGGATAAAAGGACATTACTCAGAGATATTAGAGGTCCTGCTTCAAATATCACCTATGTAGTATCCTCCCTCCCACAAAAAAGTAAATGTTTAAATTTCATCTAATCACATCCAAATTGAGACTTATTCTGTAAAACGAATGGCCTAGCCTCTGAAAATGTTAATGACATGAAGAGTAAACAGGAAAAAAAAAAAACCCCACCTGAGGCACTATTTAGATTAGAAGAGATTAAACAGATAAAACAACTAAATAAAACAGATTATCCTTGATTGAATGGGGTTGGAGCAATAGCTATTAGTGAAACTATTGGTGAAATTGAATATGGACTTCAAATATTAGAGTTTCTGGATAATTATATTGTGTGAATATGTAGGGAAAATGTGTTTTTAAAACATACAAGGCTATGGGCTTCCCTGGTGGCGCAGTGGTTGAGAGTCCGCCTGCCGATGCAGGGGACACGGGTTCATGCCCGGGTCCCGGAAGATCCCACATGCCGCGGAGCGGCTGGGGCTGGGCCCGTGAGCCATGGCCACTGAGCCTGCGCGTCCGGAGCCTGTGCTCCACAACGGGAGAGGCCACAATAGTGAGAGGCCCACGTACCACAAAAAAAAAAAAAAAAAATACTTAGGGGCAAAATGTCATGACATCTGTAGCTAACTCTCAAATAGTTCAGGAAAAACTCATACAGAAAGACAAATAGAGCTCGCAAATGTGGCAAAGTACTAATAATCGGAAAACCTAGGTCAAAAGCATTTGGTGTTCAATGTATTATATTTGTAACTTCTCTACTGGTTTTGAAATTTCTCAGAATGAAAGGCTGATGGGGAACAGCAGTGGTTACCTCCACAGATAAGGACTGAAGGTGGAGGGAAGAAAAAGAAACTTGCTTTTCTTT